AGGAAGAGCCAAATGTGAGACACAGGTGGAGGAAGAAGAGCCGGCACTGGGGACAGAGCTTTGTAGGAACACAGTCAGGAAAGAGAGGCACCTCAGGAGTCAGGGAGGAAAATGTATCAAGAAGGGAGTGGCCAACAGAGCACAGTCAGGAGAAATCAAGGGAGATAGATGATGACTGGAAAGTTCCATTTGACTTAACCCCTTTGAGGATTTAGTCAGAGAGAAAACAGGATTCCTGAAGTGTAACAGCACAAAAATCAAAATGATGCAAGTAATTGCTTGCTGTCAGTCTTGAAGAATGGAGGAATTGAAGCAACAAGGTGTAATCCAAAAACTCAGAGTCTAGCTAGAAAAGGGTCTATGGGGGCGCCTGGGTGGCACAGTCGGTTAAGCGTCCGACTTCAGCCAGGTCACGATCTCGCGGTCTGTGAGTTCGAGCCCCGCGTCAGGCTCTGGGCTGATGGCTCAGAGCCTGGAGCCTGTTTCCGATTCTGTGTCTCCCTCTCTCTCTGCCCCTCCCCCGTTCATGCTCTTCATCCCCCTTTCCCAAAAAAAAAAAAACCTTTAAAAAAAAAATAAAAAAAAAAAAAAAAAAAAAAAAAAGAAAAGGGTCTATGGACTAAACTGGGGGGACCCCTCTTTCGTTTCTGCTTTTGTGCGGGAATCCCTATCATGAAAATTCTGCTACTACAAAACATCAAAAAATTCTAAGTGTAAAAAATCGAATTTTATGATGTGTACAGAAGTTCATGAAAAAAATGAAGGGAAATCCCTGTGGGCCACAAAATGAAGAGGGCGCAGGAAGCCTCAGAGGTGAGCGAGCAATAAAATGGCATTTATTGATCTCACAACTTAGACTCGCTTTGGTAAACGTATCTGATCTCATAAAATGTGGAAAATCGGGACTGAGACCCCCCTACATAAAGTGAGGACCCTCTAGGGACTATGCCCTTAATTAAGTCCACTTACACACACTGGGAGACGGCAAAATAACCTGTGTCCCTTGGTCTAGGCTGTGAGTGAGGGAGAAGCACGTTCTCCTAGTGTGAGGCTGGGCTCCCATTTACTTTACTGGTGCCGGTGAGGAACGCTTCGTGCTCCCAGAATGGTAATGCCCAGGAGAGCTACCAGAGGCTCTGACAAATTCTCTATGGATGGATTTTCATGGAAGCCTTAAGGGGCATCCACAAAAAGTCTCAGCTGAACATGAACTCAGAATCCAAATTTCTTTTTTTTTTTTTTAACGTTTATTTATTTTTGAGACAGAGACAAAGCATGAACGGGGGAGGGTCAGAGAGAGGGAGACACAGAATCCAAAACAGGCTCCAGGCTCTGAGCTGTCAGCACAGAGCCAGACGCGGGGCTCGAACTCATGGACCGTGAGATCATGACCTGAGCCGAAGTCGGCCGCTTAACCGACTGAGCCACCCAGGCGCCCCCAGAATCCAAATTTCTTTCTTTTTTCTTTTAATTTTTTTTTCAACATTTATTTATTTTTGGGACAGAGAGAGACAGAGCATGAACAGGGGAGGGGCAGAGAGAGAGAGGGAGACACAGAATCGGAAACAGGCTCCAGGCTCTGAGCCATCAGCCCAGAGCCTGACGCGGGGCTCAAACTCACGGACCAAGAGATCGTGACCTGGCTGAAGTCGGACGCTTAACCGACTGCGCCACCCAGGCGCCCCCCAAATTTCAAAACACATGAGGAAGCAGGACACTACCAGCAAGTCAACCAAAGCAACAGACAGATTTAGATTCCTGAAGATGTCTGACGTTGGGATGACTAAATATACAATATAAGTGTGCTTAAAGGACCAGGATAAAAAACATGAGCACGAAACAAGATACTAGTTTTTAAAAGATCAGATTGATTTGAAGAAGAATCAAAATAGAATTTCATTTCAAAATGAGAAAAATATAATCGATGAAATTAACACTCAACAGGTAGGTTAAAAAGATTAGTTTTAGCTGTAAAGAAACTGTGGCATCAAAGAGCTCTGAAATATGAGGGCTGTGACATTCCCCCAAAATATTACTTAGACACGGGCAATGGGAAAGTAACATTGAAAGGCATGGACAACAGAATGAAAAATTTCATACCAGGAAGCGCCTGGGTGGCTCAGTCGGTTAAGTGTCCGACTTCAGCTCAGGTCATGATCTCGCGGTCTGTGAGTTCGAGCCCCACGTCAGGCTCTGGGCTGAGAGCTCAGAGCCTGGAGCCTGCTTCGGATTCTGTGTCTCCCTCTCTCTCTGCCCCTCCCCTGCTCAAGCTCGTTCACTTTCTCCCTCTCTCTCTCTCAAAAATAAACATTAAAAAAATTAAAAAAAAAAAAAAGAAAAATTTCATATCAGAATTCCAAAGAGGAGGGAGGAAATACTCAAATACACAATGGATGAGAGTTTTCTTAAACTGATGAATGACCTGAATTCTCAGAGTCAAGAGTCATAATGAATTAGAAGAAAGTTAAAGCAAAACAGTTCACACCTGGGCATCTAGTAGTGAACTGAAGCACGTTAAAGGTAAACAGCGTGAAAAAACAGCCAGAGAGAAATGACAGATTATATACAAAGTCATCAGCAATTACACTAGAGCAAATTTCTTAAAAGGAGCATAGGAGCAGATACCAAGAGAAAGTGAGCATTGCCCAGTCACCTCAATGTTCATTTGCAAGTGAACAGAAACTGACAAAGTTAACTACAAAATGGATAGGAACTTCCAAAGTTCTGACAGGAACCTCCAAAGGATTTCTTCAGGGAGAAGAAAAAGCATCCCAAAAAGGACATCTGAGATGTAAAAAGGAATGGTGAGTAAGAAAGTGGTATAACAAATAATAGTTAACATGTGATTGGTGACGCTAAAAACTTAAAATACTTGACACTATAACATGTAAGATGGGAAGGAAGGGGTGACAGAAGACTCCTCTAAGATCTTGCTATTATTTGGGGAAAGGACAGGAACATTAATTAGCTTTAGATCTTAGGTACGTATATTAAAAATTTCAAAGACGCAAATCCAGCTTATAAGCCATTTGCGAGAGACTCATCTAAAACACAAGTCAAAGAATGAAAACAGATGTATCAGGCAAGGGCTAACCAAAGCAAAGAGAGTATGGCTATATTATTAACAGACAACACAAACTTTAGCATTTTTTAGGGATAAGGAAGAATACAAATAGTGAGATGACAAATTTAAATGTAACTGCATTAATGATCAGATTAAATACAAATGGGCTAAGTGCTCCAATTAAAAGGCAGAGATTGTCAGATTAGATAAAAGAGCAAAACCCATCTGGATGCTGCCTGCATCAACGTACTTCAAATATAAAATCACAAGTGGGTTAAAAGCAAAATGATGGAAAAAGATATAACATGATAACTCTAATCAAATGAAAGCTTGAACCGCTATATAATATCAGACCAAGCAGATTTCAGAGTAAAGATTATTATCAGGGGTAAACAAGGCCATCTCATGATGAAGGGGTCAATTAATTAAGAGACTATAACAATCCTAAATGTTACAGAACCTAGTAATAACTTTAAAATACATGAAGCAAAAACTAATAGAAGTACAAAGAAAGTCGACAAATCCACAAGTATATTTAGGGTTTTTTAGAGCTTATTTATTTATTTTGAGAGAAAGAGGGAAAGAGAGAGAGAATCCCAAGGAGGCTCTGCGCTGTCAGCATGAAGCCCAATGTGGGGCTTGAACTCCCGAACCACGAGATCATTACCTGAGCCAAAATCAAGAGTCAGATGCTTAACCGATGAGCCACCCAGGAGCCCCTATTCAGGGATTATTAATGCTTTTCTCTTAATAATAGATCTTACAAGTAGACAGCAACTCAAAGGATAGAAAATACATGAACAACACCGTCAACCAACTTGATGCAACTGGTACTGACAGGACACAACAGTATTCTTCTCAACCTTCTCAAGTGCATATGGAACACTTGCCAAGTGCCAACTGATTCGGGGCCATAAGACAAGTCTTAATAAATTTAAGAGGACTCAAGTCATACTAAGTATGTTATCCAATCACAACGTAATTAAATTAGAAATTAATATCATAAACATCTATGGAAAATCCCCAAATAAGTTGAAATTAAAGAATTCATGAGTCAAAGAAGAAATCCGAAAGTATTCTGAACTGGATGAAAATGAAAACACAACATAACAAGTACTTCAGAGGAAATTTACAGCACAAAAAGCCTGTTTTAAAAAATAAGAGAAGTCTCAAATCAGTGACTGCAACTTCCATGTTAAGAAACTTTAGGAAGAGAAGAGCAAATTAACCCAAAGAAAGTAGAAGAAAGGAAATACAACAGTAAAACCTTGGATTGTAACTTGTTCTGAGAGTGTTCCGCAAGACAAGCAGACATTTCTAATAAATCTTAACTTGATAAATGAGCGATGTCTTGCAATATGAGTAGTACGGGATGCCAAACGTCACATGATCACAACTGAGCCAACGGTTCTCGAAATTTGCTTTGATCTATGAGTGCTTTGGATTACAAGCGTGTTTCCGGAACTAATTATACTCACAAACCAAGGTTTTACTAGTAAAGATTAGAGTGGACATAAATAAAATAGAAAACGATACAGAAAAATCAATGAAACCAAAAACTGGTTCTTTGAAAAGATGAATAAAAATGATAAACTTCTAACCAGTTAATCAGGGAATAAAAAACAGAAGACATACAATAAATCTGACAAAATCCGTGTAAGACCTGTATACTAAAAACTACAAAACATTCCTGACAGAAATTTAAGAAGACATCCATAAATAGAAAGGTATCTTCATGAGTTAGGAGACTTAATATTGTTAAGATGTTAATTCTTCTCAAATTCATCTGTAGATACCAAGAAATCCCAACCAAAATCCCAGCAGACATTTTTTTTTCAGTAATTGTCAAACTGATTCTAAAAATTCACATGGAAATGCAAAGGGCCTCGGATGGCCAAAACAAGTTTGAAAAAGAACAAAGTTGGAGGACTAACGCTTCCCGATTTCAAGACTTATTATGAAGCTACAGTAATCAAGACAGTGTGATATGGGCACAAGATAAACAGGTGGAAGGAACAGATTAGACTCTAGAAATATGCCCACACATGGAAAAGTTAACTGATTTCTGTGAAGACAATTCAGTAGAGAAAGGGTCTTTTCTCAACACGTGGTGCTAGAACGATTGGATGTCCATATGCAAAAAAAATAATAACTTCAATTCATACCCTCATCATATAAAAATTCACTTAGAATATTATTCAGCAACATAAAGGGATGAACTACTGATACATGCATAGATGGGTTTCAAAATAATTAGGCTGGACAAAGGAAGCCAACAAACAAAAAGAGTACATGGTGTAGGATCTCATTTATATAAAAATCTAGAGCTTGCAAAATAATGTATGATAATAGAAAGCAGGTTTGCTAAGGATAGCAGGGGGCCAAGGAGGACAGACGGGGATCACAAAAAGGCACAAAGAACCTTCCGCCAATAACGGCACTGTTCACTCTCTTGTGATTATGGTTTCATAGGTGCACACACGTCAAAACTAACCAAATTATATACTTTAAATATGTGTAGTTTATTATATGTCAATTATACCTCAATAAAGCTATTTTTAAAAAGCAGGGGAGTCATTATTGGGTAGCCTGGGACCGTCTCAGGTTTCAAGCTTGGGAAAAACTGACAATGACAGGACACCGTATGTGTAATCTACCTCGAAGTTTTCTCCTAATACAGAGTAAAGCGTACTTGAGGCAAGTGCTCATTTGTAGCTTGCAATGGATGAACAAAGCATACCATCAGAGAAAAGATAGCAACTAGGAAAGACAAGAATTCACAAGCATGTTTTTTTGGTGGAGAAATTCTCATCTCAGCACCCTTTATTTATGGTAGCGACCACGGATAAAAAATCTATTGACTGTTAACGGGCATTGGGAGCTATCCAGAGAATCTGGCATGTTCCAGCTACTTTCTGAGGGAAGGCAGTGCATCTTTAACCTCTGAATCTGCAGCCTCTGGCCTTGTGCCTGGCACATTAAGAGAAAACCGATTAGTATATGCTAAATAAATACATGAATAAACTCATTCTATAATATAAAATTCTTCTTAATAGCTGAAAAGTTTATCGTTTTTTTCCTTAGCTACCTTAGATGGAAATTAGGCCGATAACATATTTTTCTTAGTGACTAACTGTGGATCCAAATAATCAGCACTAACTATAGTTTGGAAAAGTAATATTGGGTAATCTCTAGATAGAACAATCACCTAACAAAAGATCTCTGCCACCCGTTAAAATCATAGGTCGTAACTTGTCTACCTTAAACATTTAAAATCACCAAAACAAAATTCAGTGGTGAATTCTGTTTTGTAGGTGCCAAGAGTACAATTCTTTCTTTTCTTTTTTTTTTTCAGATTATCTTTGGGATGTCTAATTACCTGGGGGAGTGGGGGGGGGGGAGTTGGAATGCAAAATCTCAAACATGTTTCTTTTGATATGATTTAATGCATCATTCATTTTCCAAGTTTTAAAAACTGTCTGATTTGTTTGTCTCAGATGGTATAAAAAGGTTAGAGACACTGTAGATTAAAAAAAAAGGTCATGTGGGAATGACTGAAAGAAAATCTCACCTAAATCATCTATTTCCTTTTTAAAATATGTAGAACAACAGGATATTCTTTAAGTAGGAAATACATTTATTACTGCTTGACTTTTGAAATATGATTTTCATTACTTTCTTTTCTTTAACCAAGGACATATGCATTTACTGAAATACATTTTTCCACTAGGTGTCAATGAGCATTTAAGCAGAATCCAAGTTTAAGACTGAATTCTTCAACCTGGCACCTGTAGCCCACTATACCCTGGCCTGACCTCACCTCTGTCCCATCCCCTGGTGCTGGCACTAGAGCTCCCTGCTTGGCCTGCTCTGTATGGGAGGCACCACTCTGCTTCCCACAGGGCACTCCTTCCCTGGCTCGGCCCCCTCTCCTAGTCCTGTGTATCCAAATCCTACCGCCTATGGGCAATTGCAACGCTTAAGACTGGAGAGCCTGAAAACTTCTCGAAACTCAATCATGTATTCATGAAAAATCATGAATACACATTTTCATTTGGTCAGAGGTATGTTCAAATATTTCTTTCTGCTGCTTCACTTCGCTTTTCCTATTAGGCTCCTCTGTCTCCTGACTCCTTTACTTTTCATCTTGCTCCCTCACATTTCATTTCCTTTTCCAGAGTCTTTTCCTGAGTTCTTATAATTGGAAAAAAGTCTTCACGGGACTGCTGTGTAGTAGAATATCTGGTAAATGTTCTTTTACTAGACAGAGAGTCTAAAAAGTCCCTAACACTTGATCGGATATGCTGATGACACACGTTACAATTCTGAGAAGGACAGTAATTCTGGAGTATCTTTTGAGCCAGGTCACAACTCTCTCTTGGATATGATAATCTAAACAGAAGGCCATTTTCATCAGGGTAAGATTATTCACCAAGTAATTTTTAGTAAAAGATGACCACAGTGGGACCTGTGCCAGAAGTCACCGTGAAAGTAGTTTCAGAGTAGCCAGAGACAAACCGTCTACTGCTCTAAGGGCTGCCCCTGCTTTTACCTTCACCCTATCCTCTTTCCCACCTCCTTATGTTCTATAGTTCACTGTCAACCAGAATTATTTACTAAGCATTTACCATGTGCCAGGGACAGTGCTACCTGCTAACGATCCATCGGAAAGCAAAACAGAAAATAGTTTCTATCCCATGGAGCAGCAGGCCAGTGGAGAGAGAGACAGTCATAAGGGAAATAAGCATACACTTCACTGTGCGATTGCCAGTTACGAGAAACACAAAAAAGGATAAGAAAAGGGTGTTATGTGAGAGAACAGTAAGGGGACATAATTTACCTAAGTGCAGCTGGTCACAAAAGGCCTCTATACAGAAGTGACTAACTTAAGCCCAAACCTGAAGGCTGAAGAGGAATTAACAAGGCCTTTCAGTTACCCTTTATCCACATTTCCTTGTAACACTTCTACCCTGAAATGTGGCCTCATGGCTAAAGAAAGTTCTTCTGCAAGTGGAAAGAGTAACTTCCAAAAAGCAGCGGCATCTCCCCCAGACTGTTAACAACTTCAGAACAGGTACTCGGCAGGAGAGACTGGAGTAGCTCGTAAGTTCTACTAAGCACGGGTATCTTGATTTTTGCATTCATCCTCTCTAATTCTCGGTTTTGCCTTACTTTCTCCAGACTCTCATGATGATTATACTCTTATAATTCAAGCAAGAAAGTTCTTTTGCATTATCTTTTACCATAAGTCGAATCAGCATGAATGGGATTACTGAAAGGAACATGCTATTAAATTCTGGCAGGGCAACCTGACTCCATCTAAAGTCCAGCAAATAGATATGCATGCTAAAATGTGAAACATCACTTGAAATTCTTCACATGTTTTTGGGTTAAATTATGTGGATCGCCATATAAAAAGCAGGAGGAGGCAATTCAATACTTTGGTCTTAACACTAAAATGAAAAATAAATTTCACTTACCTTCATTGATTTTTTTAGGTCTTTACTTGTTGATGCAGTGTCTTCCAGGTCTTTTGCAGAACTGCTCTTTGCGTGGCCATACATGCTTCCTACAACAGGATATATTTAGAAATATTTTTTTCTAAGTAATGAGAAGAAGAAAAGTTCTGATGCCCTCAGCGCAACTCCATCAAGCCTGACTTACGGGGTAAATACTAAAGAGGGCGGGACACTGGAGCACTGAACAAGGTCTACAATGCATATTTTCTGAAAGGCTGAGTTAAGGCAAAAAGCCCAGAATGACTTGACCAATGTAGACGTTTGCATTACCAGTACCCAAACACAGCTACAAAGGTAACAGTGTTAGGAAAGACTTCCAGAAAATATAAATTTCCTTTTTTAAATTAAATTCTTTGCACACAAATGGACATGTTACTTTTTAGTGTTTCAAATTGATCCACAAGTTATACAGTTGGAAAATGATCCTTTTTTTTTAATTAAAAATTTTTTTTAAATGTTTATTTATTTTTGAGAGAGAGAGAGAGAAGAGGCAGAGTGCAAGCAGGAGAGGGGCAGAGAGAGAGGGAGACACAGAACCTGAAGCAGGCTCCAGGCCCTGAGCTGTCAGCACAGAGCCCGATGTGGGGCTCGAACCCATGGACCGTGAGATCATGACCTGAGCCGAAGTCAGACGCTTAACCAACTGAGCCACCCAGGTGCCCCAAAAAATGATCTTTTAAATACACTCATGAAGCACATGCATTCTTTTAATTTGATATTATCAACTACTTAAATCTTACTTTTAATTTCTTTTTCACACTTTAGACTACATGCTAAAAATACTTACAGATGATAAATATTTTAACATTTTGCTTAAAATATTCTAAAACTTACTACTCTTTCTGCAGAAGTCAGAAGGAAAACAAATATCAAGGGAACTATGCCTCCTTCTGCCTAAGTTCAGATCAGATATCCACCGCTATGAATGGTTATTTTTAATGAGAACACAGTAAAAAGCAGACTTTGATGTGGCGGTGTGGAAACATGATATAGGGGTGGGCTGTACAGCAAAAACAGATGATTTCGGTGTAGAGAATGTAGGTCTCAAGGGTAACCACAGTCCCCTCTATTCTGTGGCAACTGTTCTCTGACACCAACAGTCAGGCTTGGGGAAGGACCTGTCTTAAATGTCTGCAATAAGATCAACGACTCAGTCTGAGCTCTGGGGGGTACATGAGGGGATAACCGGCCGTGGCTCTAGCAATGGGGTCTGGCAGTGCCCATCAGGCATGTAAATTGAGATGTGGGACAAAAGCCTAACTTACTACTACTGATCGAAAAGAAAAAAAGACAGTGAAAAGGCTGTCCTAAACCACTTAACACTGACACACGAGTAGCCATGAGTAATGCGAATATTTTATGTGAAGAAGTTGTGGTGGTTATTCATGAGAACAAATAAGCCTGTGGCACATATTTCTTAGCTTGTTATGAGAGCCAGGTGACAGTAAAAAGGATAAAATAGAATATAGGTGTATAAGCTATAATGACTCAGTGACGGCATACATGTGCACACATGCATGTGTATGTATGTGTGTGTGTGTGTGTTAAGGTATCTAGCCTTTTGGAAGCATGCTTTTGAAGTCAAATGTGTTCACACCTTTTGGATTCTCATTGTATTCATAAACAGTCCGTTCCTCTTGGTTGGTTTTCTTGTCCTATAAGCAATAAAGAAACAATGTAATAAAAAAACCATAATTGTGATGGCCTAGAAAATGTCATCCTGGTTTTAGGCAAGGGTTCTCAAGTTCGCCTCCAGCTAACAACATAAACAGGCGACTACTGCTTCACTTTGCCGAACTTCTGCCTTAGATGCCGAGTGGTTGCTAATGTCCCTTCTAGCTTAAAGTTCTATGATTACAAAAAGTGGCAGGACCCTACTCAAAGAAGATTTAGGAACGTTAGTTGGTGTATGAATTAGCTCAACATTTTACACTGTCAGACTGGAGTTTGTTCTATGTTAAAGAGTTTTAGGGACCCCCCTACCTGGAGCTCATAAACATCCCTTATAAATCTGTCCCTCCCTCTGAAAGAAAATAGTAATTGCTAGAACATTTTTTTTCTCAGTGAGAGGAACGAGTCTTGAGAAAGAAAATGACCTCTATAGCATAATCCCATTTTGTAAATTAAAAATACATGGACATGAATCAACACACGTTTTAAAAGAGGTGCAGACACTGAAACCAAAACTGAATCAATATAGTGTTGTTCAGTTTGGGTTTCTGAATTCCATGCCTGTGAAATTAATCCAGAGCAGTGTTAGCAAATGAATGATTTCAAACCTACCAACTGTCTCCTAGCAGTGTCACTCGTGGACAAAACTGCCAAAAAGAGATGATTCTGGGATTCCTAGCTCCACTCTTAGGCTGACTTTCTTTTCCTCGGTGATAGCGCCTCCTTATCCTCCTATAAATCCTTGCTTCTACGCCACATCTGTGCAGAAGTGATCACAGCCTCCCACACTGCTGTGAACAGCTTTCACTTAACACACATACATGTAAAGATACACTTAGTATGTGTGTGCACACACACGTCCCATTTCTGCCACCAGTATAGGGCTCCTAACTTTGTAATTTCATCCTTTCAAGAACCCAGTGCTGAACTTTTCGGTTAATTTCTCAACAGTGTACTATACTGGCCTGTATCAGTTGATTTCCACTCAAGTGGGGATCCGAATGCCACCAGAAGTGTGGAAAGCGTCAGAAACAAAGTGTGCCTAATTCATAAATTTGCTCAAAGCTTTTCCTACAGCACATGAACAAAGTTATTCAGAGAAGTATTTCTGCTCCCAAAGGAAGTTGGGATCTGCCCTCTGCAGAGACCATGGAACCCACATACTTTCTCTTGGGCAGGATACCAGGATTTAAGCACATATCATCATACCTTTTCAGTGGTGTCAATACCTTTTCAACTGAGTTGTCACTGGCTTCATCTGCAGCAACTTTTTTCTCGCCTTTCAGGTACTCATCAATTTCATCCACGTCCTCTAGCTCTTCATCTTTCGAAAATTCATGATCCTGTGTCAAAATTGATAATCAGGGAGGAGTTAAGATTTTCTTTTTTAAAAAAAGAGATTTGATATTGCTGTCATAAATAATTTATACTATCTCAAAGAACACACAGAATATGGATTCAAATGCTGAAGTCAAAGAAATAAAACACTACATAATCTATGACGCATGTCAAGTTACTGTATTACCAGGGCTTTTATGCACATCGTTCTATTTCAACATTTTCAATGGCCAGGATTTCCAAAATTCTATCTGCATCTATGACAAGGTTAAACGGGGGAAAAAAATTAAATATGCTTTTTGAGCTGTCTCAAAAGAATGCTTTTAAACTTTAGAGAAGTTAAAAAGCTTTCTACTGTAGCATTATAACATGATCACATCTATATATTATATTTATTTTCCAAAACATAGGGAGATTTAAAATCACTCCAGAAGTACAGTTCACCGATATTCATGAGAGAGAGTTAAGTATAATTACTTACATTCCAGGAAGAAGATAAAGGGACATAGGCAGTTTAAATGCTCTGCTCTTGGTAATTTAAAGCAGAGGGAAAACCCAAACAGAGGCAGAACTTAGTCCATCTGGCTCCTGTCCAACGAATCCAAATTATAAGATAACCTGTCTATGGATTTGATACACATAGTAAATCATGTAATATTAAGTATAGGCAGAAAAATATTCATTATGTTCCGAGTAACTTTACCCTATACTGAGATTTTTTTTTTTTTTTTTTTGCAGTTTCGTATTTTGGGTGGAATACTGCTTATTTTTTGTCATTAAGGGATCAGGCTCCTTACTGGACTTTTTCCCTATGCTTTTCATTTATGCACTTCACTAAAGGCACAATGGCCCCTAAAATAGGTGAGGCAGTAAGTAACTTGTGCCATTTACTCCCATGAAGAATGTTTTTACAAAGTTCACATGGGCCATACCTGCCTCAGACGATACACACCCTTTATATCCCTTCAACACTATAACTAGCTTCTTGTGGTCACCTTCCTAGTCACTATTTGGCCAAGGATAAGCTGGACACCCAAAGGAATCTTTTGTGGGTGGTTTGAAAATAATGCTTGTAATTAACTCATCTCTTTTCTGGCAAAAATACAAAATGTGAGAACTCAGGCTAGGGAGAGGATATGTTTAGATTTCACACCTTAGTAACAGATGTAAGTGGCATCCTCAGGCCAGTAGCAAAAAGGGTGTGGCCTAACAGCACTGCCACTAAGGACAAGCAATCCAGAAGTGAAGGCTTGAGATTTAAAAGCGTTTCAGAAGTTGCTCTGGGAGGGCTTGACTTAGGTCAAGCAAAGGTCAGTGCATGTGAGAGGGGAAAGCGGGAGAGGAAAACAGGGTGCCAGGGTAGAGAGCTATATTAAAGGATGTGCTGCACATTTAGGTTGGGTAGGGTTAACTACAGGGTAGCTACCATTTACCAAGAATTTCTAAAGCTTTCTTTTTTTTTTCCTAAGCAACTTCTATTGTATATTATGCCTAGCCATAAGCACATTATGAGTATGTAAAATGATCAAAGACTACTTTGGAGGAGAATGGGAAGCAGGATTACTGGATTTAGGATTGATGGCTGATAGACAGATGTATTCATGAATGTACATAAATGAAGGCCAACTAGAAAAGAACAGTGTTCCTGAGAAGGACAATTTCAGACTGACTGTCTCCCAGAGGGAGGGTCAGTGTGCTGTGTTCCAGCAAAGTCCTTTTCACTTGGAAAGTTCTGCTAGTTTAGCACCTGGGTCAACTCCAGTCATGCCAGGTAACTAAGATATTAATGTAACCATAGGACAATATCATGAGATTATACAAAGGAACATGACATTTTGCCCTATTTCAGGAATAAGCAAAACACTCATCTCTTTTATAATAAACTATAAATTTACTCATTAACTTTATGAAAATCTGCAACAACGAACAACTGCTGGAATGATACCATCTTCTCAATTTGAGAAAGCTCTTAGAAAACATTTTCACTAGAAATCACATCAAGTGTAGCATGTTGCACTTAAGCACATTGAAAATTAATCTACTCACATCTGGACAACTACTTTAAATCACATACAGTACTTACCTTCAAACCGAAACAATTTAGGAGAGACTGGCAGAACACTATCATTTTACAAAGAGAAAGGGTAAAATTTAAATACATTCTTGTCACCAGAAGCACATAAGACATAAAGCAGTCTAGGATGGTCAGTGGAAACGCATGTTGTGTCGGGACCACAGTGAAGAAGTGATTAGGCCTGGCTCTCGCAAGAGGACCGTTGTCTCATTGGTCAGACACAACACGGGGAGCTGCAGTCTTGGATCTGGCCCAGGGCCCACACGTTTTACATTTCTTACGGGAAATACCAAGAAACCAAACGTTCCTCGTGAGGTTTCAGCTGGCTTAAGAATGCCATCATACCGTATACTTGAAAAACTAGAGGTTGCCATCAGAAACTGGCACAGTGGTCACCCTGGGGGGGATGGAAAATGCCTGTAAGAGGGTTGAAGGGGAGCTACTGGGGAGCTGACAGTGTGCTCCTCCTTGATCTGGATGTTGACTATACGAACAGGTTCAATTTGTGGAAAATACACTGAGCTGGACATACATGCATGAGATATGATCTTTTCTGTATATGTTATATTCCAATAAAGAGTTTTTTTAAAAAGTTTTGAAAAGACACTATAAAGTGTACAATTTTGTGCTACAATTCTGGATTTGTGAGATGCCTCAATGTCATATAGGGCAGACATTTTCCAGCTAGGTTAATAGAGCATTAAACTTTGTACCTACATCATACCAGGTGGGGAAGCGTATATCCTAAAAGCTCAATTTCAAGGTTTTTTAGGACAAGAGGGGTTAATATGTAACTTCATGTTGATACTACCCTAGAAATCACTGAGGCAGGAGGAGAGAAGGAAGGGCATTCAATACAAAGACCTAACTACTGCTTTCCAAGCTCTGCTCCACCAATCACGGCCTGAGCAAGGTACCTAATTAATGTAACAGTTTCTCTGTTAAATGGGAGGATGACACTAGCAATACCTACCTCGGCGGGTTTATATCAAGATTAAAAAGATTATTTACAGAGAAAATAACAAAAGCAAAGGATAAGTATCTGTATATAAATATAAGCAATTTAAAAACATATTTGTGATTGTAAGACTCCCTAGTATACACAGAGGACTATCAAAAAAAAATCCCAAGATGCCTGGACACCTTTTCACCATAATGTCCCAGATCTTATCATCAGAAAGTAATTGATTCAAAGTGTACACTTATTTGTTCTACCCTCTTAGACATACCCCTTGATTCTTGCCAGGAGCCCGGCACCTAGAGCAGCCCAGGGGAGAAGGCAGGGCCTGTCAGGAGCAGGCCAGGATGACACGGAAGTGGAGGGCCACTCTGACTGGGCTGTGGGCCAGTGGTGCCTCAGGTTTCCAAGAGAAGTTTGAAAAACACTGCTTCAATATAGAATTCCTGGGTATTTCAATGTTGGCAATGGCCTCAAATGTTAAAAAAATCACTGTGTATGCCAAACAAAGTTAGTCTGCAGGCCAGATTGCACCTATGGGCTCCCAGGTGGACCTCCAAATTATTGGCTTTGTCACTACTTTATAATCCCTAAACGTTTCCTTCCATGTACCAAAACCCTTGGCTCATTCCTAACCCAGTATTTTCACCGCCAAATCCATTCCAGTTTGACTCTGACAAGCAGGCCTGCAAAAGTGAATATAATGCCTGGCATACAGAACTTCTTGTTGGTAGGCAGTTGTTACGTGTGGAGTTATTCTTTAACCTATCTTGATTAAAAAGAAAAATTAGGACACAGGGAAATCTGTTGTCCTGTGACAGCAGTGATGCCTAACTGTGTGAGTACCATCAGCTCTCACCATGCTTCAAATGTTGAGGATGACCCATGGACGGTGTGCCTAGTTTCACTCTACCCCATATTTAAGGGTATATTTATCATTATTGCAACTCACTTCATTCCCACAGATCTGTCTTAAGCCAATTTGGGGGGGCAGGGAGGGTAGCTATGTGGTATTTACACAGAAGTCAGGTTCACAGGACTAGACTCACACATATCTGTCAGTGACCTGGAGATGCACGAGGGTAGTTCTGCACCTGACTTGATGGGAGTCAGAGGGGACAGAGTGACACAGGTTACCATTTGCTGAGTACCACTAACATGTTTCATGTGTTAACTATCCAAAGACCTTTCCCTTTATAAAAAGAAATGACTCAGAAAAGTAAAAAAAAAAAAAAAAAAAAAAAAAAAAAAAAAAAAAAAAAAAAGCTTTTCCAGGTATTCACACAGCTTAATCTGTGAAGGGCTGGAGTTTTGAATGCAGGCCTACCAGGTGCCAGGGCCCAGGCTCTTTCCCAGCTCTGCTCAAATAATGTGAAAACCAGAACTGCCACCCTCAGAGCTGTTTCCCCCACCTGCTGAAACTCAGGGCATTGTAGGCTCTTCCTTTTTGATGATAAGCTCACTTCAAGATCCTATGCTTATATAGCCTCATATAGAGTAATCGCAGGTGAAAGTCTAAGATGGTTTTTCCCATGGCACCAAAGTCCCTGACCCTTTTTCTCTGCAAGGCAGGCTTCCTGGGGATCTCTCTTAGCAGGCAGTGTGGGCTCTTGCCTGGCCTCTGCCGGGCCTCTCCCAGACCTCTCTGCTGCCCTGCACCACTGCTTCCTTGGCTTGGGCGGTGCCTCTCTTTCCTAGAAAGTGTTCCTACCTGGCCCCCTTCTCAGATTTCCCTCGCTCAACCTCTCCGTTACCTACTGATGTTTCCTCAAACTCTGTCTTCAGTTCTCTTCCCTTCGCACACTGTGAGTGCCGCCTCTCACTCAACTCCATGCTTTTAACTCCCCGTGGAAGTCGGTAATGCCCGGCCATCTCCCCTGAGCTCCAGGCCCAGACGTGTATCTGTCCACTGGACACCTCCTGGATGAACAGGGCCCAGCAGGCTCCTGAATCTACCCCTACTCCTCTGTGCTCAGCCTTGGTGAATGGCACACTTCCTACCCAGTTCTTCAAACAGAAACAAGAAAAGCTTGGCCTTTTCCCTCCCTCCAACTTACATCTCTTTACTAAGCCCTCCAATTCTATCCCTGAAGTTCTCTTGATAACACATGTCCCCGACTCTGTCCACACTGTTCTAGTTCAGCCCCTCTTCTGTCTCTGTCTGGTCCCCTAGAGCAGCCTAATTGGCATCCTTAGCTCTGGTCCTCTTCCTCTCCAACCCACCCTCCATACTGCTGCCAGAATGTTGCAAAAGGCCAAATGTGATCATCTTACTCTTGCTGTTTAACAACTTTTATAAACACATAAGGCCCTTTGCCTCCTTATCCAGGACCAAAAGATACTCTAGGCTGCAGTCACACTGAAACACGCTCATGGCTCCCATCAGCCTAGAAAGCCACAGATTTGTTTTCAGATCCTATTTTTCTGTTTGGGTAGTCCTAGCTAAGAACACGGGGGTATTGGGAAACACAAGGGCACTGTTAAGCCACAGTTAGAGGCAGAGCCCGAGGAACTCCTTTTACCTGGTGTTCTTTCAAGCAATATGTACCTACCTAATGTCCCTGACAGGTAAAAAGGCCACAGGAGTTGGACTACAAGCAGCCCTCATTTCTGGAGATCTACCTGATTTTGGAAAGCTTCTGTTCCCTTTTTGGTGCTTAGGTACACGCTTATTGGTTGAGTGAATCATAGGCACCAAGTATGAAGCCATATGTCAGGCACAACAGAAGGAATGAAGGAAGGAGGAATCAAAGTGCCTTCCTTTATGGCAGTCTTTTATCTTTATATACGTGAAGAGCAAGTTTACCTCTATAATGAAGTAACAGAAGACATTTCATTGCACTCACCTCAAGAGCTGCTATTCAGCGGCAGCACATGTTTCTGTGGTACTCCTTCATAGCTTACCTTGAACTATTTTTCTGCCAGAGTCCTCACCTGGAACTGTAACTCAATGGACTCTACACACACAACTCACATCGGCCTCAGTAACGATCAGTGATAAATGACAAGAAAAGCTTGATCAACCAGCAGATGGGGATGACAAGGAATGGAACCGATTATTCCAAGCTATTTAACCAAGTACTAACTCACATCTCAAAATGACTAGGCCTGTGCTCTTCTGACCAGAACACCGTGCCTGCACGAGCTACCCTTCCTAAAAGAGCACAGAACATGTTTTTGGCCAGGGCAATGTGAAGAAATGGGCAGGAAATGCTGTTTAAAAGCGGCTCTCTAGACCAGTTCCAATACTGAGATGGGCACGTGGTAAGACCTCCATTTCAGCATTGCTGGCTGATGACGTCTTTGGTGCAAGAAGAATGTCCACACCTTTTACATTAGTAACTTGAGTGCAAGAGTTTCTTTTCTCCCTGAAGGCTTTTCCTTTATGAGCTCCTCTTCAATCATCCATCTCACTTAATCATTTTAAGTCGACTTTTCAATAACCATGGTAGGCCCTTGAATTGACAACACAGCACATACACTTTGTCAAAGTACCAATTCTACCCCACTGGCACTTACTGACTGTGGTAGAATTTGGTAGAACCCTGCAATGCCAGATTAGCATATTTGGTTAGTTAGGGGCGGCAACCACGTATCCCTGCAGCTAAAACAAAATCTACAATTGCTCCTAGGAGTTTCTTCTCTTCGTATTCTAGTCTCTCTCCCCAGATTCTTGCTCACGGAGAATCAAATGCACAGAGGATCACATTACACAAAATTCACAGGAAGTTTACCATCAAGATCTTCCTTGATAAAAGAAAGTATAAGAAATCCCTAATGCCCAAGATATGGAAGGGACTGGAGCAGTGAATCCATTGAAAATGGAGCTATGAATAAAGAACGATCTGGCTGCATTACACGAACTGAACATTGTAAGGGAAGATTGAATTTACACTAATAGAAATCCAGCCTCTCTAAAATTCAATACATGATGTTAGTTTCTCTTTCCACAAACAATTACTGATGGAATACACTTAATGTTTATTTTACTTGAAACATTCTGACAAGCAATAAACTGAGAATTACAGAACAGTCAGCGAAAAACAGGTTGAGGGTACATCATAGACACTGGGAATGAAGATTCTGACAGTACAGTTAAAGCTCAGAAGTTATAGTTTAGAAATACAGAATGACAGAAGAGACATTAAAGCCGTCCTAAGTTTGTAAGAGTCAAGAACAGTATTTTATAGAAACTCAATTAATTTTAAAGTATAATTTTTCTTCCTTAAAAACCTCTTCTGCAAATAACAAACATGATGGGAGTAAATCAGCCTGTTAGAATGAAAGAGTCTGAGAGTTAAAAGGGATTGGAGTTCTATCATCCAATCTACTCCATTTTACACATGAGGAAACCGAAGCCCAGTGGGGAGCTCTGCCTGGGCAATAAATACTTAAAAGTTGTACATACTTCCAGAATAGATGCTTAAGTTCATCTCCATTTCATGAGATACACTGCCAGTTGCCCAGACAGTAACTGAAAGACATCACATTACAACCTGAGCCCTGAATCCAGCTGTCACTTGGTAAACTGTTACAAAAAGGACACATAAAAGGTAAAAAGACAGCACTACTTTTAAAAAATGTGAATCTTCCATTTTAGCTTTAGAAAGCCCTAAAAAATCTTCAGAAAATCTTATAAAATTATTCTATGTATAGGCAACTTGTAATCAGAGACTGAAAGAAATGTGTAAGAAATGAGATGTTTTCATAGCCCTTAAGGATCTGTGCCATCTTTAAAGGGGCCAGTCTGTATATACAAACGCAATACTCCTATAGTATACTCCGATTTTCTAACTCTGCCCTTAATGAGGAATATATAATGTTAACTATCTGCTATGACCATTTTCTAGTGATAGATTTATAATTTAGAGGGAAAATATACCAAAATATTGGCTTAAGAGGAGCCAAATTTACTAGTGCTTTGTGCTGTCTTATCAGTCGCTACTGTACCACACATAAAGTGACCATGACATAAAATCAATTTAATACAACGTACTGAGTGCCTATTACGTGTAAAATGTTCAAATTATTTGGCTGGACAATATCAGGTCAAATTTAAAGCTTGTCACTTCAATTCTAAATAATGTGGCAATACATTGTTCCAGAATTTTTCGGAACCTGGTGGCCCATTTTCTAAAACTTGTTTTGACTGCACTGGCATTTTGAACCTCTGTACCTTGTGCTCTTTCCCCTTTCCCTCTGTGTTAGTAGTAAACTTTTTGGGGTATGCCTTATTTTTGTCATATCTCACAGACCCTTTGATTTTGCTCACTTTGTTGGACTCTCTTCCTTCACCCTGCCTTTCCTGCTTTTCCCTCTCTTCATCTCCTATCTCCTTGTATTTCCCTTCTTCTTCCTCATCGTCCTCTTTGTCTTCCCTCTCCCTCACTCCCCACTCTGCTTCCTCCCCCTCTCCTTCCTCCTCCCCTTCTTCTTCTTCCTGGTCCCCCTCCCCTTCCCCCCCTCTTTCTTCCTCTTCCTCCCCCACCTCTTCTTCCCCCTCGCCTTTCTTCTCTTCCTCCTCCCCTTCCCCCTCTCCTTC